ATGATATCATGTAACAGATTACATATCAGATATCATACAAACAAATTACAATGATCTTATAAATAACATTTGTAATACATTCCTAAAATGTGGCCTTATGATTTCAAAATAAATAGAGAAAGAAGGAGACGTTAGGTCTAGCTAATAAACGTTAGCTTGTCTTCAGACTTGTCCCTAGCAATGCAGCTTCAGCAATGAGGAAACGATGCCGGCGCGGGTCACCTTTAATTCAAAGTCACTGCAAGATAAAGATTAGTTGGTCAGTTTCCCATGCTGCATGTCTGCAATGTCACCGGAACACACCTGGCTGCAGACCCACGGAGCCGCTGCGGAAACCATGAGACCCTCTGCCAGTTCAGAGGAACATCGTCAGGCACCTTTCCTTCAGTGTTCCTTTTTAGGAAAGAAAACTATTATTTTCAGTCTAGCAAGTGTTCAATTTTATCTCTACTTAAGTGTGTTTCCATTTCCATCTGTGTGTAACATTGCATATTGTCCCTCTAGTGTATCAGTTGACAACTTTTGCAAACATTCTGTCAAGTGGAAACGTTGGATTTGTGCCTACATAAATTACAGTAAAAAAATATATACTTTCCCATTTATTTGTATTTGATTGAGTCCTTATGTGCCTCTGTCCTTCACAGTACGTTTAGTGTATAGTGTGTATGTATAATCAAACGTATTTTAAGTGCTAATCAGCAGTTTAAGCATCAATGAAAGCATAGTTGATCGTTGTATCCACAGCCTGAATCAGATAGAAGTTAATACATACTTCCCCAACAGTGTTTTTGTTTCCAAACTTCAACATTTATAGTTCCATAATTAAGGTTATCGCTAAGATTTGAAACAAAGGGGCCTAAAGTGATTCCATACTTAACCACCGCTAAATGTTCAAATACAGAGTGAGCAAGCTGCTGTATTTAGCCATCCAGAAGCCCATTACTGGAGGATCGCTCCCAGCCTAAAGAGTGCTAATGAGCACACTGTGCACCAGTGTTAACCCAGGCCCTCTTTAAACATACAATATTGACAAAGCTAATACAAAGTATGTCCTGTGGAGTGCATAGCTGAGTGTTGTTCTATGTAAATGAACACTCTTCTGACTCTAAGGTTAATTTATTTAATTAGCATTAACTGCTTTAAAAGCTACTCAAACAGAAAATACTTTACAGGATTCAGAAGAGTTTAAAAGGAATGAAAGAAATACTCACCTATCAAGTGCAGCAGAGCAGCTACAGCTACTGCTCTTATTGTTTGTATCGGGTCGTTATGATCAACAGAATACTTTTTAAAACAAGATAAGACACAAAACTACGACAAACTTGATTAAGATTATTCTTTATTATGAAGTGCCACAAAATGCTTTGTGTTCATTGTGCTTACATTGTCTGAATTCTGGCTCAAAAAAACCCAGGAGGTCTCCTCTCTGCAACAGAGAGCCAAACCCCCCGAGATAAGGTGTGTTAGATATCGCTATACAGCAGTACAAATGTCTCAATCCAAAGGATTCTTTACAAACCCATTTGCAATAAATGATTATTTAGGTTATCATCATTCTTTAACTTGGAAATACAAAAAAAGAAGAGAGGTCAAGCTAGTACAAGGTTTTTAATTCTTCTCTACCTGAATTCTAGTTAGTTTCATTGTGCTACTTTCTTTAAGGTGGAGATGAGTAGAATGGAAGTGCTTATAGAGGACAGACCTGGAGCTCGCCCAGAGACAGACACACACGCAGCTTTCCTGCCTCAAAACCAGTACAAACAGCCGCCCAACAACATCTCAACAAATACCCTTAAGACGTTTAGACTGCAGTGCAAAGTTTCAAAGAGTTTCTTTATACACAAAGATACGATTAATGGTACGTAAACAGCAGCGGGAGACTTCAATGCCAGAGAGCCCATCAGTGGTTTCTGTAACAACGTCGTACCCTAAACACTTTGATCTGTAACGACAACAGGAACTGTCCTATCCCTTTTTTTTGCTCGCATCGAGATTCAATAAAAAAAAACTATTTAAAGTCAGCAGTTAAAATAAAAACCATATTATTTTTTATATCTCTAAGGTGTTTTAAGAAAAATAAAGGTAATGCTGTTTTTCTTTGCATATACTGTGCCGTACTCAGGCTTTTTAATATACAAATGAACTTGTGTTATTTATTATGAGAATTTGGACAAGTCGGAAAAATCACTGATAACGAGACAAATGCCCGGAGTTAAAGCTCTATGACTAAATGTCTGATACAATTCAAGTGATTGCAGCTGAAATCAGGCAGAGAGATAAGAGACCTGTAATTTGCTGACTCACACACTCACTGCTTCTATCACAACAGAAACCGCCTCTTTCTCATTGACTTCTTACAATCAAATACTTCTTTGTGAAAGACTTAAAGATCCTATCGTCTCCTGCAACACAAGCCTTTCAATGCCAAATGTTTACTTCTCACTTCAGAGCAGATCTGTCCGCCTTTGATGTCACACAGGTCCAATAACTGTATCTCTGGGATGTTAATTAAATTAGGTAATGGGTCCATGTATCAGTGCAGACTCTCCTTTTGTCCCTAAAACCCTAAATGGTGTTGGATATCAATCAACTCCATCTCTAATTGAGTAATCTTATGCCTGAGGAAGCACTGTAATTATCAAAACTTCCTCTGTCAGAGATTCACATTTAAATATTAAACCCATTTTCTTTTCAATTGTTGGAAGATTGACTGTAGACACAAATTCTCCCCGTGTGTCTCTCATCAAAGCTCAACAGCAGGCACCGTGTGCTCTCATGTGTGGGCATGCAAAGTTACAATGATAAATATGGCATTTAAAACAAGCACTTGATGTTTTGTGCAGATCTGTGTCCTCAGTCTGTCTCTCAGGAAGCTCCAGGGATCTGTAGAAAAGGTTTCTGAGCTGCAGAGAACTGGGTTCAGCAACACTGGTATTGGCCGCCTAAATAAAAGGTTAAACCATCTATGGGTTGGGGTGGATTAGAGTTAGCCTGTCTGTAGGTATATCGCTCATAGAGTTAGCCCATGGTCGGCCCAGTAGGGTTAAATGGGGCCTACTGCAGAATAATCTTTGCCAAATGTATCTGTCGGACTGTAACGGTTGAGCCTTCCAGCTAAAGTGCATGCTTTCTCTGCGGTTGAAGAATGCACGCTTTATGGTTTGGAAGTGCACTGGAAGGCTAGTTGAATAATGCATTGCATTTCAAGTTGACCTCGGTCCAACTTCAACAATGTGCCAAACTCGGATTTCTATTGAAGGAATACTGAGTTGCTACAGTACGAACACTATACCTGCTATCATCTTGGTAACCATTGTGATAATTAAAAGATCTGTTAAAGCCCATTATTATTTGGCTGCATGACACAGAACATTTGTTTTGTGCCATTTTAACATCTGCGTACCTTTTAATAATCTGTTGAATGTGCAGTGATCCAGTCCGACTAAACTGTTGTCAAGCTTAATCCAAGATACTGTTAGCAGCCTTATGTGATGCTAGAGTTAGCTTAGCATAGGTCTGACGGGTTAGAGTTAGCCTAGCACAGGTCTGACAGGTTAGAGTTAGCCTAGCACAGGTCTGACAGGTTAGAGTTAGCCTAGCACAGGTCTGACAGGTTAGAGTTAGCTTAGCATAGTTCTGACAGGTTAGAGTTAGCCTAGCACAGGTATGAAAGGTTAGAGTTAGCCTAGCATAGTTCTGACAGGTTAGAGTTAGCCTAGCAAAGGTCTGACAGGGTTAGAGTTAGCTTAGCATAGTTCTGACAGGTTAGAGTTAGCCTAGCACAGGTCTGACAGGTTAGAGTTAGCCTAGCACAGGTCTGACAGGTTAGAGTTAGCCTAGTATAGTTCTGACGGGTTAGAGTTAGCCTAGCACAGGTCTGACAGGGTTAGAGTTAGCTTAGCATAGTTCTGACAGGGTTTTAGTTATCCCACAATAGGCCCACACCCAGCAGGCAGCTGACCCCAGCCTCTCTAGCCTACATCCTACGTTAGTTCTACTCACTAAGAGGCAGGCAGTGCATAACAAGAGAGGAAAGACAGGACTTTTCTTTGTGTTACTCTAACACTACATTGGCATGTTCCCTGATGTCTGTAATATTAGTTTTTTTTCTGTTTATGACTATAGGTGAAGTAAGACATACCTGATTTTTAAACTGCTATACAGTAGTAGGTAATACTTCATAACTTCATCATAAAATACCATGCATTAGGTGATTATTGCTTTTAAAGAGTCCTACGGGGGCTCCAAGAGAAAAAATATTGCCCTCACGTTCTATTTATAGGAATTTGGCAAAAAAATCATAAGCTTTTTATGACGTTGGCATAGATTTCATAATTTTTTTGCATGCAATAACGTTAATACGAAAAAGAAAAAAAAAGGTAATCAACATAATAAGAAAAAATAGTACTTAAAAAAGTGACATATGCTTTGGCCTGTAGTGATAAAAGAGGTTGGCAAATATCCTACATACATATACAGAAATTAAAGTGCAACAAATAAGTTAACGCTATCACTTCAATGTGATTCAATCAAGTATAAAGATATAACAAATACAAAATCATGTTCAAATAAATAAGTAAATAAATAAATAGTTTTTACCTCAGTAGTGGAGAGAATATGGTCACTTGGTGCAGCAGAACATTATTATTATCATTATTATTACTATTATTATTACTATTATTCCCCAAAAAACAAAATGGGAAGGAGAAAACCTCTTTCACTGCGTCTCAGTGCAGGTAACCATGGAGATATAGGCTTATTATTGTCTGTCGTCCTCATCAGTGTCCCAAAGTACATGTATCTAGATGCCAGAAGGAAGCCGTGTTAGTATTATTGTCTCCATCCAGAACGGACAGAGGAAGAGGAGGTGAAGAGTTTTTGAGGAAGTGCATGCGTCGATCAGTTAAATCCTTAAGTGGACAAATCTCAAGGAGAAAAATTGTGCTATCATCATGAATAGGCTCCGTTAGAGAGGAGGAGGAGGAGGAGGGAAGCAAGGTCATATTCTGACCAAAAATAGATTGTTTGTGTCTGCAGTTCAGTCTGTAAGAATAATGGTAATCTATGTCTGCAGTTTGTGTTTTATCTATGCAGGGGGTCATGCATCGAGGGGGCCGAGAGGAGAGTAGGGGCCTTTGAAGCAGGCGGACTCGTAGTGCTTGTTCAGGTAACTCTTGAGCGCGAAGGTCTTGTCGCAGCGTTTACACTTGAAGTGCTTGAAGGCCGAGTGGGTCTGCATGTGAGCGCGCAGGTTGGAGCGGTCGGCGAAGGCCTTCCCGCAGTGGGCGCATCCGAACGGCTTCTCGCCCGTGTGAGAGCGCATGTGGCCCTGTAAAAGCCACGGCCGACTGAAGGCTTTCCCACACACGTCACACTTGTGCTTGAGGTCGTGAGTGAGCAGGTGCATGGCCATGGCGGGCATGGACACGTACACCTTCGAGCAGGTCGGACATTTCTTCGCCATCTTGCTGTCCAGCGAGCGGTGTGTCTGTTTGTGCCGGCTCAGGTTGGAAGACGTGGCGTAGGTTTTGCCGCACTCGTTGCAGCTGTGCCTCTGGATGGTCCGGGGGCTGCTGATGGCTTTCCTCCTCGAGCGGCCATCGCTGATGAAGAAGGCGTCGACTGAGTAACCGTCGCTCACCGCAGCGTCCCCGTTGATGTAGCCGTCAGTGATTTCTGAGCTAGGACTGTCAGGGGACTCGGAGTCAGGGGCCCCGTATTCACTGTGGACCCCATCGTAGGGGGGCTCGGGGGAGGGCACCTTGAGCCCACCGTCACTCTCACCATCGTACACGACGGGGCTGATGTAGTCACTGATGTAACCAGCTGCCATGGAAGAAAGAAAACAGTGAGAGGTTATAGAAATTAAAGGAGACATAATTATGAGTAACATTTTCATGTGGTTATATTTTGTTTTATAGAATAAGCAGTAATGTTTCTCACACTGTCCTTCTAAATAAATCAGTGTTAACTCTTTATGTAAATTACCCCATTAAAGTGCGGTAAAGCCACCCCTCCCAAAAATGCCCGGTGTGCTCTAATTGGCTTGCTATAAAAATAACCGCACCTTTGGAAAGGTGATTCTTAGACTGTGGGTGGAGAAACTCAAATGAGGGGTGCTATATTTTAATGAACCTGCATGTGACATGGGGAGCCACATCTTGATGAATCATATGTTGTCCGACTGTGGCAGCCCACATAAAACACATACAAGTCGTTACGACATGTACATTTAAAAATATATATATATACTAAAAGCTGTTTATAGTGAAGCATGGCAATGGAAACAAAGACGTAGGGACTCGGATGTAGGTGCTGGACCGTACTGTAGCACTGACACAACTTGAACTATTTCTACTAAAAAGTTAGCAATGATTGAGAGTCAGACCTAAACATTTCAGATGTTTGTATCTCACACTGCACTGTCACTTTTATGCATGTAGCCTTGGTATTCATGGTTTATTATCTTTGCTTTTAAATTAGTGTTTTTAAATGCCATTTTATAACATGCTTCTTAATGCTCTTAATGTCTTTCATTTGTGTAACGCACTTTGAATTGCCTTGTGTTGAAAGGTGCTACAGTATATTGATAAACTTGCCTTGCCTTGATAGGAATAAAATGCTATATTCAAATTAATTAATACAAAAAAGGATGATCAAACACCAGCCCCCCCCCCCCCCCATCAGAGACCTGCGGTTCATACACCAGCACGTAGTGTGAGTGACATTCTCGACTGCACACGCCTGCGTAATAGGGACTCGACAGGGGGAAAGTTTGGATTAACGCCATTAAATAGCTTTAGCCAGCTGGACAGGAAGAACAGAGTGAAATCAGATAGTCCTCTTTTCTCCAGCTTATCCTGCTTCACAGAGACAGTCATGCAGCGCTTCACTTTCCTGACCAGCTTTACACCGTCTGAATTGGTGAAATTGAACAAGTGCTTACTCAGGGATGTAAACAACCACACCATTAGTGAGGTACATCTCGCCTGATACAGCTGCACTGTGTTTTCCTGCTCCTACATTCCACTTGAGTGCATTTAGTACAAAACCTAGAGACGTTAGGTTGACGTGAATATTCAGCTTGTTCATTCAACCGTGTTACTTGTTTCTAGCATGTTACTGCATACGGTGTGTAGGAACACCATTAGGGCGTTCACTAAGTGCTGTGGATGGACACACACTCTGACACGAAAGGCATGGCAGTTCTGTATGTCTTTTCGAAATCTTACGCATTTTTCCTCTAAGTTGAAAGAGAAGAGAACCAAAGATGGAAACACTTCAACCGAACAAAAAGAGCCGATCAACATTTCTTTTAAACACGTTACATGTATTTCTAAGACTTCTATCCACAAGATCATCCGTGGTTTTATCGAATATGTTTTGTGTTGTGCTGTTTCTGAGAGGTGCAGAGGGTTAAGGTCCTCCTCTCAATGAAATGCACTGAAAAAGACTTGACTAGGCTGCCACATGTCAGGTGGAGAAGGACACAGAATACTGTATTCGTCATAACGGCTGTGTATCTGCAAGAATCTGCTGGTACGGCCCAAACTGTCATGATACAGGGCTGACAGTTACGAAATAGTGTGATACTGCAAACATTCGTTACAATGCACTTTTTAAATCTAATATTAGGAAAACGATCAGTATAAAGAACACGACAAATGTAAGTCAGAAGGTGTTACTTTGAAATCAGAGCAGTGGGATCTAACAACATACAAGTAGTGTGTTGCCTCCAGCTAACAGTCCAGTTTCAGTTTACATCCATGTCACTCCAAAATGTCATGTGTTTAGACATATGTGCAAAATTGTCATTATTAGCTTATAAATTATTAAATTATGACCAAAAGCGTGTTTTGCGAGGTCACAGCGACCTTGACTTTGACCATCATCAGTTCATCCTTGAAACAAAACATAATATTCTGATAGTGATATGTGTCGTTATCCTCTTCCCATCCTACTAGTCATCCTAATAGTCACAGTCCTACGCACCTGCATACTGCTGCAGCACCTATGTCCAAATCCAACACCTGCATTAAACCTTCCTAAGTACTCTGGGAAGACCTCAACTCACAATTAGCAGCAGCAACTGTAACTACTTCCAACAACTGTAAACATATGTGGAAGTCTGAATTGGCATATTGCAACGCAGAACATCTGTCTCACTCCTGCACACCTGTGGAGTGTAAAAAAAAGCCCGCAGTATTAGTCTATATATAATTCAGCAATAGACCTCTCAGTTCTCAAAGGTTGCAATTTAAATCCCATCCTCTGAGAAAGATAAATGCACACAGGCTGACCCTGAACTTGAGAAAGCTGATTTAGGCGGTGAAAAGGAGCATCAGCACCACGGACAGCTCCAGTGCGGAGCAGGTCGATGGCACGGTGACAGCAGGGCTGCTGCACAGGCTTAGTCAGTGCGGGCAACAGCGTGCTGTTCACACATCAGGGGGCTGAAGAGCTGCATGGCAAGCCTTTTGGGGACAGTACAGTTACTAAAACTCCTCCTAAAGCTATGCAGATGTACAGTATGTGAGCAGGTTGGAGGGGGCTGTGACGTATGTTTTTTAGGAGTATCATATACTGTATATGTAGATAGATAGAATCGGAGGGATGAAACCCTCTTTAATGGTTTGATTCACACTCGGAGAAATGTTGCCTCTGCTGCATTTAACCCATCCTAGTACTAGGAGCAGTGGGCAGCTATTGCACAGCGCCCAGGGAGCAATGGGAGTGGGGGGGGGGTGTCCGGTGCCATGCTCAAGGGCACCACGGCAGGGCCCAGGAGGTGAACTGGGACCTCTCCAAGTACCAGTCCACACTCCATATTTAGGTCTGGTCGGGGACTTGAACCGGCGACCCTACAGCTCCCAGTCCCCTACTGACTGAGCCACTGCCGGACATGTGAAGTGTGTTTGTCTACATCACTACAAACTCTTGTTGTTAAATACCAACTATGTGCAATATATATATATATATATGCTGTTAAAAACTGTGCAATATATACCTGGCTGCTACAGTAAATCCTCAGAACTGTTACAGGGTGTGTTTTTTGTTAAAATGTGTAACTTTTTTATTATAATTTCTTTTTGTATCTTTAGTACTTGTTTGTATGCATGCTTAGGTAGCATTAAGCTGTCTTTGGCTCTTTTCTGCTGTAACAATGTACATGTCCGCTCTGTGGGACTAATACAGGTATTCTGATTCTCATTAGGAATGCATGTCAAGAAATGATACACAACTGCAGATATAGTAAATGACTAAATACTTAGTAGCATATCTACACATCATAAAATACCTTTAGATGAAGTCACCAGGAAGTCCGGAGGTTACATTTGAAGTCAATGTAATATGTGTATGATGTAAAGGGAAACCTGTTCGTCATCAAAACATGAATTATTAGTGCTATTAGTATTTACTTGTTCCCCCCCTTTAAGAAGTTGTTATTATGAAATCCAGTCTCTTGGAGTACTTTTGAGATGCAGAAGCAACACGCTCTGTGACAACGCATATCTGTCTACATACGATAACAGCCTCCACACATCCCAACTGAATACACAGTCCCATCGCACACAACGCACTGAGCACGGGTGAGATATCAATTATTCCAAAAGCCGGTTTGTTCGCGCAGAGAGTCGCTCCTAACGCGGTGTTTACAGCTTAATGCAGCTTCCACATACAGTACAACACAGGCTCTACGCCTGTGTTGTACTGTATGTGGAAGCTGCATTAAGCTGTTCCCGTCAGATGTTAGGGACAGAGACAAAAGGTGGGCCGGGACACGCAGCTGCTGAGCCGGCAGATCGCGTGTCGGGCCGAGCGGGGCTTGTTAACCTCGGCATTATAAATACACCGCTGACAGCTCTTTGCTTTACGAGCAGAGGCATGCAGGCAAGACTGCGCACAGAGCACACATGTTGGTGTGCAACAGTGTGACAATGACATTGGTGGTGGAAGCAGTCCATCATTTACATTGCAAAGGCATCTCAGGGTTTTGGTGTAAAATGTGACGCACACAGTCACACGGGGGGGGGGGGGAGTTCACAGCTTCAGGAGCAAAGAGGCAGAACTACACAATGAGTCACACTGTCGTCAACATATCGAGGTGGTTTGTTACACCTAATGAGCTCATCAAAAATCATTTAATTATAAAATACCATATTTGATGGTACAAACTAATGATTTAAAATGTGACTTGCATTCAGAATCTGTTACCTGTAACTTATATTCAACAGATCATCCGTGGGAGAGGTGCAGTTAGGGAGGTACATTCTGGTTGTTGTGATATTGTTACAAAGCCTTTTGGGATGCTTGTATTCATAAAGAATAATACAGTGTAATTGTATAATAACAATAATATGTAATCTAGGCAGGATATCGCCCTATAGAAACCTGCATACACTGCAGAAATAGGACAGCTATACCTGAACATAGGGCACATGCAGAATGCAGACTATAAGCTTGTAATGGGGATCATTTCATAAACAATCAATAACAACAGATTGGTGGTAATCGTCCTGGACACAGCGCTGTTACATGAAGAAGAACAAGACAGCTGCTTGTTTGGGCTTCACCCGGACACTTTACAACACTGTACGAATGCTGTCAGTATGTTTTGTCAGTTACTTGTCTGTATAAAATATCTGCCCCCTTGCACACAAGGACAACACTTTGACTTTGACAGAGCTTGTTAATTCCCCTTAAGCAAGTTAAAGCGCAGCACATAATAATAACCTCAGTCCTGTCTTTATCTCTTTTAACCTCATTTAGCCTGCGTAGGGGGGGGGAAGAGTCCCTGCTGACCGAGGGCCAAAATCGATGATTCATGGGACGCGCTGGATTTAGTTGATTTCTCAAGTGACCTTTCCGCTCCAGTGGCAAGTCAACTCCTACAACCGAGCAAACGCTTCAAATCAACTGTTGGATTGTGGGTGGTATCGTTAAGCTGTAGTGGTGTTAAGGTTTGCTGCTCCTCAGTGTTTTATGGTGCCAAATCGTGTAGAATGACTTATAATGGACTGCTTAGTGCAGGGCTTTGATGCTTTTATCATCCAGCATAAAGGTAATAACTGTCCAATCTCTGAGCTGTCTGCCAGTGTGCCGTAATCAATAATTATAGGCTCTGCCTGTAGGCTACACCCACATCACCTACAGGTAGCAACAACACTGTCACATGGTTCAAAGAGCAAGGATATATGACAGGATATAACAAGAGTAGGTAACACTACATGCAAACTGGAAAATGCTATGCTAATTAAATCTTTGAGTCTCTGTGATAAATGTATAGTTATTTTTGTTAAGAATTGCAGCTCTACATGGCTATTGGGGTCAATTAAAAGAACAATCACAAGGACTCCCTCCAGGATTTAACACCTAAATCCACCTCACAGTCACATGCTAAAGCCTTATTTTTGGAAACAGCATTGTTAGGCTCCCTGCCTCTCCCCCCTCTTCCTCCTCCTCCTCCTCTGTCAGAGAGACTTGTTTTTGAGACACCTGTTAGTGCTCGCGGTGCAGCAGCCTGACCTACCTTTGTTATGGAGCCGCAGGCTGAGGTCTGTCCTGTGCCGGTAGACATTCCCCAAATCATGAGTGAAATCATCAAGTTTCACCTTTTTCACCAGGAAAGACCTTGGCATGGTGCTGCGACACCGACACACACACACTCACAAACACAACGACACACACGCACAAACACAGCCGTTTTCCGACGACCTGGCCAGCGTGCTGACTCGCCCGATACACACCAGAGGAAGACTGTTTCGGAAGAGAGCGAGTTGCTCCGTTAAAACTGTCCAACCACCGCTTAGTTAGTATGTCTTTAGTTTGTCTTTCTGACCGTCCCCGTGCTTTAGTCCTCGTGCAGAGAGGGTGAGAAATGCAACTTCAGCACCGGACAGCTCCCTCCGGGGGGGGCTCGCGCACTCTTTTCTCGCAGGCAGGCGGCAGATCAGAGGGCAGAGGCTCGTGAGCAGTCAACAAAAAATAAACAAAATAAAAGGTAAGGGAGGCAACCTGCAGCGCGTGCGGCGGCTCTCGGGTCCTTCTAAAGAAGAGGAAGAAGAGATTGAGGAGGAGGGAGGGATGCGAAGGAAATAAGAGGGGGGTAGGGGGGGAGGAAGATTTTGGAAGCTCTTCAAAAGAAAAATGTCGGGCACCTTGTCCAATTTCCTTTTTGCCGCCGAAATAGTCCTTTATTCCCGTTAATGACCAGTACTTAGGACGGTGAAAATCACAACGAGACTCCCTGTGGGCGAGTGAATCAACAGCGTCCCCTCTTTCTCTTTTAGTATCCCTCTCTCTTCTCTCTCTCTTCCCCTCGGTCTCTCTTTCTGCTGCGTCCGCGAGGTGTTCCCGTGAGTGTGCCGTCTCGCGATCAGCTGTTGGCATTTATACGGCGCGCGCGAGAGAGAGAGCGAGAGAGAGAGAAAGAGAGGGGGAGATGGAGGGGTAGACACATGGGTAGAGGGAGTGCTTAATTTAATCCATCCCGCATCCCTGGGGAGCGGCGACTGGCCCGGATGATTTATTGAAGCTGTTATCAACTCCCCCCCCCCCCCCCCCTTTTTTTTACTTTCTTTCTCTGTCTTTCATTCTCACCCCTTTCTCTCTCTCTTTTCGTTTTTTGTGTGTGTGTGTGTGTGTGGTGTGTGTGTGTGTGTGTGTGTGTGTGTGTGTGTGTGTGTGTGTGTGTGTGTGTGTGTGTGTGTGTGTGTGTGTGTGTGTGTGTGTGTGTGTGTGTGTGTGTGTGTGTGTGTGTGTGTGTGTGTTGAGGCACCATGTTTTGGGGAGATAAGAATGGAACTTGTTGTTTTTTTTATTGTTAGTTTTTTCAAGTGCTCATCGATTTCATTCAGCTATCGTAGTGTGTTGCACTAAATTTAAATATTGCCCCATTGTGTATGATTATTGGGAGACTGTTTACTTTTTTTTGTTTCCTCTTCTTTTACCACCTACCACGCGATGACATGTATTATACGGGGGGGTATTAACTTGCTGAGAGCCCCGTAATTATCATTAATGTGGCCCTGAAGGCAAATGGGTGTAGACCAAATGGAGTGTTTTACACTGACTGCCGGATTAATATGGGAGTAGAGTAATATCTGCTCCAGGATCACACTGGGTTCACAAGTTTTACTGCAAGATCGAGGATTGTCTGCTCCGTGTCGATATTATGCAACAACAACAACAACAACAAAGATAATTTGAGAGATTAATTAATCATGTGCTGTGAAGACTTCCTTTATTTTACCTCCCTTTCTTTCTGTTTTCTTATCCTTCTCAGCCCCACTTTTCATGAATTTTAAGTAAAATAATATCAATTTTCTATAAGAAAAAAATATATAATACACATGTGCTTCTGACATGTTTGTCATAGATCATAACAACAAGTTGGATTAAATTATTACAAAATTAAGAATGCATAGACCATCTAATATGCTGTCAAGTTTGATATTTTCCTAAACAGCCGCTTGGGACCGTAAAAATGAATACTGGCAGGTTTTAAGTGGTTCATAATATCACTTTATCACGTTGAGACCCAGAATGATGCTGCATAAATATATTTTAATTAGTCCCAGGGTGTAAAAGTTCACATTACTGTGTTGGGATTTTAAAGTATTGCTGTGTTTTAATGAGGCAGATATATAGAGGACACATGGACTCAGGTTTGAAAGTGGCTGAACATCTGGTAAAGGTTAGAGGAAACTCAGCGGATGACTCAGATCTACTGAGATAACACATTTAAAGATCAAGTGTTCACTGTGATAGGAGAGTCGTACCAACTCCACAATCAGGGTTTATTATTAGTAAGTTGATTCTCAAGGCTTTTAACTTGATAATGACTCAGGATCTTTTCAAAATTGGACAATATTGAGAAATAACAGAGGTTAAAATACATTACATTATGACTTCAACTGTGAATTGTGTTTTTTTCAAATTCGATTAAATCAGGGGTGTCAAACTCAAGGCCCGGGGGCCAAATCCGGCCCGTGACTTCATTTTCTGTGGCCCACAAGAGCTTGCAAAGAATATAATATATTTATTATACGGTTACATGCCGATTTACAGAAGCACGTTGCCCATAAACTACATGTCCCACAATGCATCTAGAATTTGACTTTTTTTTCAAAACGTTGCTTTTTTTTCAAAATGTTACTTTTTTCCCCCAAATTTCTTTTTTTTTACCTAAGTTATTACCCTATCCGATAATAATCCAATGCAGAGGCAATAATGTAATATAATACATCATTTTATATATATTAAATATTTATATAGTCTTAAAGTTACAACCGGCCCTTTGAGTGCAACCATAATTCCAATGTGGCCCGCGATGACATTGAGTTTGACACCCCTGGATTAAATTGTAGACACAGTTTTTCTTAGCTATTCTTGTACTAATTGCAGATCTTACGTGTGAGTTTTTTTACTATGATAGAAGTACAGTTTGTGAATATTATCCACAAAGCTGGGAAAAAAGGATGATTGGTTTCTCCACTACTTTCCTTTGTTTTTTACGATTTGTAGAATTTGAACTCACACTAACGGTTATGCGCATAAAAGGCGTTTCATTCAAAGATTTCTGTATGTGGGTCAAAAGGCAAGGGTAAACATATTCATCAATTAGGTATTAGGTATATTTGGAAAGTCATTATCAATGATTTTCCATTAGGAAGGAGATGTCCATGCCTGTCATCTCGTGAGTTGTTGGTCATGTCTTTCTTGATTGAGAGTTTGCTGGTTGAATAAATTAACTTTTGTCAAACAGATGGAGGAGGACAGTGAAAATGTTGTGTTAGAAATGTTGCAGAAGGATGAGTTTTCTTGCGTAGTTAACCATTTTAATGAGCTGCTTGGTGGTGGTGGTGATGAAGACTGAACGGACTGAAGCATCTGGGTCATTTAAGCTTGATGCATGGACATCTAGGGGCCACAAATAATTCACTCTTTGTTTATGTAGTATTGATTACCAGCCGAATGACTGGCACAATATGTGTGTTCTATTTGTTTGATGATGACTCATGGCTGTGTGTGTGTGTGTGTGTGTGTGTGTGTGTGTGTGTGTGTGTGTGTGTGTGTGTGTGTGTGTGTGTGTGTGTGTGTGTGTGTGTGTGTGTGTGTGTGTGTGTGTGTGTGTGTGTGTGTGTGTGTGTGTGTGTGTGTGTGTGTGTGTGTGTTGTGATACCAGTCCATCTGTTGTCCTTAATCAGGGGAAGAGCAGATGAGTTCCATCACCTGGAGATTGGCTCAGGGAGCTCCAATTAAACACACACATGCACACGCACTACTGACTTTACACACACAATAAACAAGCACCTCTACAACAACTGTCAGTCGACAGAAATAACCTACACGATTAGGAACATATTTCATCATCATTAGAGGTCATGTGGGCACACACACACTCACACAACCTTACAGCTGAGGACATATGGACAGAAACAAACACAGTCAGGCTTGCACAAGCATCAATGTATTACTGAAAAGTGTTCTAGTTTCTGACTGAACACAATCAAAGGCATCTGGTATTTTCAAACTCGGATCAACTGTAAAATCTCACAGCAAAGAATAAACACCTTACTGACAGCGAGTCACTCGTTGTGTCTCCTTCAGATTGAGGATGTGAGATTTCTAAAGATGGAAGGGACAATATTTGAACCTGGAAAGCTCTGGGTGTTCTCTCGTTGGTGTCACCCTCACACCTCACTTTATTTTTGGGACATGTTGTCAGCAGGTCTTGTGAGTAACCCAAAAAAAGTTTGGTTAAATATACAGACAACACATCCTCAAAATGTACTGATACAGACATTCAGTTTTTGCTGTATGTCAACTGCAACTATAGGTACAAAATCATAGTCTCCCTTAATGTATCAATCATCATTACACTGGCTTATAAAGCAACACAGTATAACTAAGTTGACAGAGCTTAATGTCAGTGAAAGACATCACTTTTACCTCTTAGTGCAAAAAGGATGTTCAGTGTCGGAATGATGCGACAGGAAACGTTGTTGCAAGATGTTATGTGTGTAATCTGCATATAATGTCTATGATACATCATTGCTTAACTGCAAGACTTTCAAAGTATGCCAAGCTGCTGCCCATAAAGACATAATTGAACATATTTGAATTTGAATGAATACATTACACTTCAGAATGTTTCACAGTACTTGAAAATAGATTAAGCATGATCAGTAAAAATAATGCAACATTTGAAATCTTGTTTTTATGTAGTGAGGGATCCTGTGTGTGTGTGTGTGTGTGTGTGTGTGTGTGTGTGTGTGTGTGTGTGTGTGTGTGTGTGTGTGTGTGTGTGTGTGTGTGTGTGTGTGTGTGTGTGTGTGTGTGTGTGTGTGTGTGTGTGTGTGTGTGTGTGTGTGTGTGTGTGTGTGTGTGTGTGTGTGTGTGTGTGTGTGTGTGTGTGTGTGTGTGTGTGTGTGTGTGTGTGTGTGTGTGTGTGCCAGACGCTGCTCTGAGGTTAGCAGTGATAGATGTCCTGTGTGGTTTAATTGATGCCGTGCCGCGTCGAAGGCCGACACATGTGTTGTACACAGAACATGGAGCCGCTGCCCAGCTGGTGTGTGTGTGTGTGTGTGTGTGTGTGTGTGTGTGTGTGTGTGTGTGTGTGTGTGTGTGTGTGTGTGTGTGTGTGTGTGTGTGTGTGTGTGTGTGTGTGTGTGTGTGTGTGTGTGTGTGTGTGTGTGTGTGTGAGTTGCATGTGACAATCAGGCGGCTGCTGCTTTACACCCCAAAATGAACATATGCACACATACACAGCACACACACACAC